TGATTTGTATGTGAATGTGAGGGTCTGGAAATCGATCCGTTCTGTAATAGGGAGTCTATGGAACAACAATCCTTGCATTTGATATAGCTCCTTATCACATCTTCGAGACGTCTCAAAGCGCTTCACAGGATACACTGTGAAGTGAATTAACCGTGTATTTTGTGGGCGAAACTCAGCAGCCAATTGCGCACAGCAGGAAGGGCTGGGTTGATGGGGGTGCGGAGTTTAATGTAGGTGAGAATATGGGTGTTTTGAATGAATTTGATTTTATGAATGATGGAGCTGGGGAGTTGAGGAGGCCGGCGAGGTGGGCATTGGAAACCTCAAGGTGAGAAGTGACGAAAACGTGGACGAGGGTTTTATCTGCGAGTGAGGTATGGCTCATCGGCTGTACTTGGAAGGGCAGACCAGTCACTGGGGGTAGAGATTTCCTCCCACTCAGGTCCTGTTAACCCTGCAGGATGCATCCCTCCCGGGAGAGAGAGCGCATTCCATTCCAACAATCTGTCTCTGGGATTTCCATGTGTAGGTGGGATGCGTGGAATTCTCAGTTTGGTTTGGAGACTCCTAAGCAACAGTGATGGGTTTCCGCACATGTCAGACACCCGGCTGCGCAAAAAACAAAATGGTCAGAGATTAGTGATGTGGTGGAAGGTGGTCATGGTCAGGGACCGGGTGTAGGTAGTAGATTCAATAGTGAGTTTAGGAGGAATTTCTTCACACGAAGAGAAAAAAAAGCAAATATTTCCAAAGTCTTTCTACACAATGAATTGTCTCTTTGTTTAATCACATTTCACCTCCATCACTAGAGCAATCTGTGATCTATTTACTGAGCTAATACAATATGTACCTATAATCCTTTATAGAGTGTATGGAAGCACTCTGAGACAATACCACTGGGCGCTGTATAAATATTGTTCTGCAAGTAACAGAGCTAAGAGTGAGTTTAGGAGGAACTCTTTCAAACAGAATGAGGAACTCACTCCCAGAAGCTGTGCAGCACAAGTGGGGTGGGGGGGGGGAAATATGTCTGAAAATATGCCCGCCCCTCAACCCTCCATCAATTTGTCCGCTCCCTCCGCACAGTGGGTTCGGGCCTGCTTCACATCCTCTGCCTTGCCCGCCCCACTATTGGCTGGCAAACCTTCAGTCTCTGCCCCCACCCTCTGGAGCTCCATGCCACAGTCCCTCCGCCTCGCCCCCTCACTTGCCTCCTTCAAGACCCATCTCAAGACTCTCCTCTTCGACCGTGCATTTGGTCACTCTCCTTCCCCAACCCTCCTCTCCTGATCCCAACTACCAGGTCGGGTGTGAATCCCTGACTGTCCAGCGCCGTGGGTCATCCTCCTGATGTGAAAGGCGCTGTACAAATTTAATGTGTTGTTGTTGATATTGAAAACGCGGTCAAAGAGGTAGGTCTTGAGATGGACCTCTCCAAGGGGCAAGTGAGGGAATAAAGGAGTGAGAGAGGGAGGGAATGAATGAGTGAATAAAGGAGCGAGTGAGGAGCTGAGGCCCTGGTTGAGCTCGGGGCCAGGGTTAGAGCACCTGTAGCTGGGTTGGGAGCCGCTGTGACCTTGGGACAGACTCACAGTAATAGCTCGGGTAGGAAGGAGCAAGTCAAAGGGCCTCCAGGATGGATTCCTAGAGGATGGGGGCAGATACGCTGAAAGCCAAGCTGATGGCAGGGCAGGTGAGGCGGGCAGCGTGAAGCAGACTAGTGCCCAATGAACAGAGGGAGCGGTCAGGCTGGTGGGGTTTGAGGAGTTCACAAATGTCCATGCGTCCCACCTACACATGGAAGTTCCCGAGTATTGGAATGGAATGTGCACACTCTCCCTGGAGGGACACATCTGGAAAGTATTAGGCACAGATTGGCAACAGCCAAGGGTTGAGGAGCCCAGAGTATGCATTGGGGTAACTGCTGGAGTCTATCCAGCCAAAACCACATAGTTTGCCATTGATATCACTGTCAGGCTAACATTCCTGCTGCTTGTCCAGCTCGGACCACCTTACTGTTAGGGATTTGGCTTGCAGTTAACAGTAGCTGATTGGGATGATTTCCTACCACCCCAGTGACTGGTCGGCCCTTCTAGGACCTGCCGAAGAGCAAGACTAGGCTGTGCTGTCATCAGCAGTGCCCTGGAACACTACGGACCCACCTTACTCGGGAACCAGATGAGAGACCCTCACAGAGGTCACAGAGGGCTGGCTCAACTCCACCATTTGGTTGCCAAACACGTTGCCTTGAAGACAAGGCAACATTCAGTTCCAAGGAGCCCCCACTTACCTCACAATAAAAGGATAGTCACTAGTTGGTCGTTTGACATCTGACAAGCCTCATGAGGTTGATGGTAGGTACCAGGAACTCCCTGAGAGCTTCCAGTTGGCAACACAGCTCAACAGGAAATTCACGAGAGCATTATTACCATCTTCCTGTCCACAGCTCAGATACACGTCCCTTCATATTTAGAAATGGTTCCCCTCAATTGGGTGTGTG